TAACACAGTATCAATGGGCGAATCTCGTATTTTAAAGTAGTGCGGCACAATACTAGAAAAAGCTGCAGAGATTTGTCTCATTCTATTCCTGACTACCGTGGTGGTAATAACATGGGTACAGGGCTGGTTATGACATTGACCGAGCACGACTCTTTAAGACACTTTGGGTTTTTAACATATTGACAACAGATAAGGCATTTATGTACATGTACAGTTGTACAGTCATAAAGAAGTTAGCCTAACCTTACCCAGAATATATTAAAGTAATGGACACTGCCTTGCCAAGATTTGCCTGGTGGTGTGATAGGGATTGGCCAGTAGTTACTTGTAAAGCTCTAAAAGATCTTTACATGTATATACTGTTTTCTCATACTATCAAATTGACACCACAATTACACGTCATTTTAAGACACACTTACTATACAAGATAATTCAGTTGTGAGGTTGACATGTTAGAAATCTACAATAATTGTTCCCAGGGTAGGGGAAGACAACAGATGATGTTAACTTCTGCCTCGGGACATATATTCCCAATGCGAGCATAAACCGCAGGTCAACGTTCCGTCCTAGGGACTGCGACTCTTTCCAGTAGCGTGCAAGTCAATAAAACTACCAACATGAAAATCACACCACTCCAAAAACGAAAAGATACGCCCTGTAGTGTCGACAATAACAAGTATTGCGACTATGTCGGAAACTTTCTAAACTTGTGTAACGTGTGTTTTTGTACTACGACTTATGAATCACGTATCCTTCTGGTTCACATACCAGCAAAATAAAAGTCAAACAATATACAGAAGCACATTTCTGACAACCCAAACTAATACATGAAGAAGGTATGACCTCGACCATCGACCTCTTGTTATACATGTTTTGCCAGCTAGGTTGGTTGATACACAAAACTTAGACAATGTGGCACTTGTACGCTACTCGTTATTATGCTACATAGAGAAACAAACTCTGGAACAAATATAGGGGACCAGATTATGGGGTTCATGCGATTGCAAAAAAAAAAAGCAAAAACGATTTAATATTCTTCACATCGAATACCTCAAAATGTTTAACAATTACCTACATTGTACCTTTGGTGCATAAAGAATTGCTTAAGATATATATCCTCATAGGATGACCCCCAAGAGCTGACAAAAAGCCATATTCTAATGATGCAATTGGACTACATGTTTATGTGAAATTTGCAAACATCTACGGTTTTCGACCAACAACACTATCTTTTAAACATGTAGTTTCAAACTTATTCTGCAAAAACAAGTAACATACCTTTTATAAACATATACAAGGCCATGTAAGAAAACACTAATAAAATTTCCAAATCCTTCAAAAACAATTATGTTCTATACCATACCTCATGATCGCACCTATCACATAAATTGTTTTTGAACAGGTGAGCACAGTTTGTCACCTTACATGAACAAGATTTCAAATCGCACATTAGTCATCAACGCGGTTAGTGCATTAGACTAGTAGAGGGTGTTCAGCTGATTTTAGGCTAGGAAATTTGCTATGTCATTGTGCCTCGTTGGGCTGGCTTCATGTAAAAACACGTATCCTGTTTACGGCATTACTGCCACCTCATCTTGTTTACATGTAAACAAGAGACAAAATTCACGATGCGTACTATAATATATCAAACACCTACCTTAGTTCAGTCTTGTGCTAATTATCGCGGCTAAGTCCTCTTTCTAACACCATCCGACAAACGTGTTACGAATATATGAAGATTTTTATTCTACTCGATATTGTTATATTTTCGTTGTGTAACTTTGGCCAAGGAGGCAGCATTAATTAAATACATGAGGCAGGTGGAATATCACCCCATTTTGTTACAAACTGTTGACGCACAGAATGGCTGTTCTATCCGCGTGCCGTCATATCAAAAGGGTAAAAATTATACATGCAGTCCTCAAATACCAGAAGCTAGCTATCCGCCTGGTAAATAATGCTGATTGACAGCTTCAAGGCTCTTTGAAATTCTGACAACTGACCATAACACCGGGACAAGTTTAAAATATGTGAAATCATTTATGGACCAACACAAAGGGAATTTGAATGAAAAAACGGCCAGCATCGAATCTTGCTCGGCTTTTGGTCGGTATTTTATATTTAGATCCATCTATATGGCGATACAGCCTAGTGGTATTGGGATCTTTCTACTACGCGATGCAACCTGATGGTATTTGGGTATGTCTAGTACTTAACCAGGCATCTACCTGGCCAATTCCATGCATCTCCCAGGCCGGTCATATTTCTTTGTATTTTCCTCATCGATCGTCGGTCAATTCCTGGGTGGGTTTCTGGTCGATTTCTCGTAGTCTCCCTGGCCAATTCCTCTGTGAAACCACTGCCGATTTCTTAGGGTCTTCCTAATCGTTACCACAGCGGCTATCTGGCCAATTTCTGGGTGGACCCAGGGTTGATATTACGGCGTCTCCCTGGCAAATTTTGGGAGTGTCGCAGACTGATTTCTGGGCGTCATCCTGATCGTTTCCACAGCGGCCACCTGGCCAATTCCGGGGCGGGTCCCTGACCTGACCTTGGCGTTTCTCTTACCAGTTTTGGTACCTGGTTGGTCCCAGGCCGATTTTGGGGCGTCACCCTGGTCGTTTCCACAGCGGCTCCCTTGCCAATTCCGGGGCGGGTCCCTGGTCATTTCTTCTTCGGCCATCTGGCGAGCTCTTCTTTGGGTCTCTGGCCAATTCCTTTGCGTCTCCCGGGCCAATTCCCGGGAGACGCCCCGATCGTCCTACCGGCGTATTTCTGGACAAATTACTGGGTCGGTCTCTGGTCGATTTCTTGAAGTTTTGCTTGATCGTGTTCACGTCGGCTCCCTGACTAACCCCTGGGCAATTCCTCGGTGGTTCCCTGGTCTGTTCCAGGATGGGCCTCTAGTCTATTCCTCGGCGGTTCTCTGGTCGGTTCCAGGATGGGCCCCTAGTCTATTCCTTGGCGTTTCCCTGCGCGGCTCCAGGATGGGTCCCTGGTAGATTCCTCGGCGTTTCCCGGTCGGTTTTAGGATGGGTACCACAACAATTTTTACGGCGTCTACGTGGCTAATTTCTGTTTAGGTCCCCAGGCTTCTCTTCTTCGGCTACCTGGCCAGTTCCCGCATGTTTCTCTAGCCTATTCCTGGGTGACTCCCTGATCGTTTTCACGGTGCCTTATTGGTCAATTCCTAGGCGTCTCACTGGCCTACCCCTGGGCGTTTCCTTTGTCAATTTCTGGGCGTCTACCTGGACAATCCCTAACTGGGCCCTGGTCGATTTCTTGGCGTCTCCCTGGCTAATTTCTGTTGGGTCTATGGCCTATTCTTTGGCGTCTCTATAGTCGTTTTCACGGAATCTTCGGGTTCTTTTGGTAGATTCCCCAGAGCTTGCTTGATCGTTTTCACGGCGTCTCCCTGGCTAACCCCTGGGTTGGCTCCTGACCGATTCCCCGGTGTCTCCCTGACCGATTCGTTGTTGGGACCCTGGATAATATTTGGGCGCATCCGTTTCTATGGCGTCTTTCTGGCCGATTCTTTGGTGGGTCCCGGGCCGATATTTGGGTCCTGCCTGATCGTTTCCCGGTATCTTTCTGGTCAATCTTAGGTGAGTGCCTGGCCTGGCCTTCTCAGTTCACTCCCTGGCTAATTCTTGGGTGGGTCTCTGAGCGATTTTACGGCGTCTCCCTGGTCAATCACTGGCTAGGTGTCTGGCCGATTTCTCGGCCCACTTTCTGGCTAATTCTTGGGTGGGTCCTTTGTCGATTTCTGGGCGACGCGCACCTACGCGGTTACTGAGCGGCTCTCATTGCCAATTTGAGAAGCGGCCCTCTGACCAACGTCTGAGCGGCGCAACTTTCAAACAGCTCATTGGACTGATATTGAGCGTCTCCCCGATAGTCTATTCTGATCGGTGCAGCTCCTAACAGCTCCCTGGACTGATGCTGTGTGTTTACTGGTTACTAAACTCAAGTGACTTTCTGGCCAGTACTTGGATGGATTCCTGCAAGATACCTGAGTGAATCCGTCCGATTTCTGAGCAGATCCCTGACTAATTTCTGGCTGATTCCCCCAATTCAAGGCCTATCGGAACTTTTCCACGGCTGCTCGGTCGATTCCCAGCTGGCTCTTGCATGGCTCTCAGCCTCAGGGAAGCCAAATTCTGGGCAGCCAAATTCTGTGCAGGTTTGGAGTGGCTCTCTCGGATAACTGAATTATATGTACTTCTTGGATAACGTTGTTTAGGCGGTTCCTGGACGAGGGCGACTCCCCGGCCGATTTCTAGATAGCTTTTTCCTGACCGGCATGACTGGCTGCAAGAATGGTGCTGGAATGGCTCCATGGACGATCCGTGGGGGTGGTTTTTGCTTAGGTTGCCTTTCTGGTAGCTATTAGGGTGACGAGCGTGATTGCCACTGGCTTATTAGGCACCGTACCCGTATGGGGAATAGCTACACTGGCGCTACCCTGTAGTGGGCCCTTAGACATCTCAGTGGGCACTAGAGAAAATCAGTTCTATGCAGCTTATCAGGCAGGGATAAATCCAAACTATATTGGCCCGATGGACTGCGGACACCAGGAGATGAACTGCAGGTTGTATCATAGCTAAACTACGGTGTAAGTCGCCGGGTCTTGAGGTGATTTTTGGCATCTCGTTTTAAAAAAAACTGGGGGCAGCAGTACCCAAAAAAGAGCCCGCGACTGTCCCATGGACCCTTTTTTAAACTTTTGCATTAAATGCTGGTCTCGTGGTTACCTGGGCTGTTTACTGGTCGACGCGTGTTGCGGCTTGAGTCACTATTGCTCAAATCTTGATTTTAGCAAAAGATGGGTCTGTCGCTGACCGTGCTATTCAAAATGCATTTATCTATTAGTAATTTTTCCTAGGCACGATTCTGGTATGATCAATGTCCTTGGATACCTTACCGCAAATAAACCGTGGAAATCTGTAAGTGACTTATGCCTTCTAACAACTCATGCTATACACGCAAATCACACCCACCTTGCCCATTTGTCCCACCGATGGAAACGGACAGCAGAAGAGCCAGGACCAACACAGTCCACCTCATGCTTCTGATGTCACTGCTGGAACAGAAAAAAATACCTGTCAAAGTTCACAAGGAGCCAACTTTGATGCAAAGTATGAATATATAAACGTTTTTGGGCATGTTCTTTGGTAGAATGTTGCAAAAATCTTAGATTCATAAAAGATATGAAATTTGATGGAGTTAGAATGAAATTGAAAAACTTTGCAAGTCAGAGCAAGCTGGCACATTTCTTACCGTATGCTGTGTCTTCAATATGTCGACAAAGCAGGTAAAAGTGTAGGGCCGTCGTTCTGAATCAGTCTTGGTTCCGCGGCGCCCCAACTTCTCTTCTCACAGTTTTCAGAACTCGCTGTGAAGTCGCCGAGAGACGACGTCGAAATACGCCAGCGTGTCAGGTACCGGCCGTTATATCGCCTCAAACACGGGATGCTCTCATTGGTCCTTTTGCATGACGAGATCATCTTCCCACCAATCAGTGAAGTCCAGTTTCGCCAGTTGAGTGCAGAAGCAATGGCCAAACAGGTTTCCGCAGCTGCCTGTCATGTAAGGACAGCGAAATCCGAGGACGATTCTGCACGTTCTCCTCTGTTTTCAGTAAATAAGCCACCCACAACAGGACTGTTTTCAGTAAACAAGCCACCCACAACAGGACATCATACCTACTCTACCTAATCATCGCAGTTTTGTTACTGTCTCTGTCAAATTTCGCAAAAAAAGGACTACAGTATGAATGTGATTGAATATTCAATTGTTTATAAGGTAACTAGAACAACAAAAGGCAATAAAAAGCTATGTCTGATGTGCAATACATTGTGATGATCGCTTTATGTATATGTTTGTACTGTCAATTCTATCAGACCTTGGTAAGATCCGCCATTTATCGACAGAGGACTGGCGAATCTAAACGCAGAATGAATAACAAAAACAGGTTATAACGATTTTTGTGTTTTTACTGACGACAATGAAACGTAAATGTAGAATTTAGCGATGGTATCGTTAACTATTCTTGGTTATGGAAAATATCACTGCGCCCGGAATGATTGATTTCAGAATGTTTTGACAACTTTTATCCAAACGACAGCCGACAATCATACGTTTCACAGATGGTATCACTGACAGCACATCCGCGATTCGTCAAGGCTAAATCATCTGTCCAGGCGGTGATTTAGGGTCTCAAGGTGTCAGTGCCACTCCTCAAAAGTGGCTGCTCGAACGTAAGTTTACACGTATGTTGGTGAGAAGTTTCCTTTTAGCCAGCCGAATTGATCTAGAATGTCAAAGTAGTGAAGACTAGCTTGTAACTTAAGGAATTACCATGTAATTGGTGTGGCCTTTTGCGAGCAGCGGGTAATTATAATTGCAGTTTGTTGCTCCAAAAAAAGGAGGACTGTGTGCTTATGGAAAATGTAACAGTTAAAGATTTGACAGTTTAGCTGGCGTAAGGGCCTGAGCGGATGGATACAAGAACATTTTTAAGATTGAAATAAAACTATCACGAGTACTATCACGAGACCTTGTGTTAGACCTTCTCCTCATTGTTTCATATACAGTGTAAACTGTCCATTGTGTGTATTTGGTTAATCTCCATCTCGCCTACAGTATCCCTCTGGACAGGGAGTCATGATCACCCCCCAGGCACGAATCTGGAGTGTCTAAAACAGTGCCTGGGTACGGTTCTGGAACAGGCATGGTTCTGAAAACAAGACCCCCTCCCACGACGTCGATCATCACCTGCCCTGTCATCGATCGAAAACAACCTCTAACATGAGCGGTAGGCCGTCGAGTGGTTTGTTTTGGTGTTGTTTAAATGTTGCTCTGTAAAGAAACACGCTTAACTATCTTTCACGAAAAATGTAACACAACACTAGGTTTGATTGATGGGTTTGGCCGTGGGTTGGATATCTCCCCCTAAAAAGCGGCTGTCGTCTAAGAAATAATGACAAATTTGAAAATCGGTCTAAAACGTAGCAAAAATCACGAAAACTTTGGTTACTGTTCAAACCAGACAGCCATGCCCTTTCACTGAAAATGTTTTAAAGTGATGTCTGTAAAGTCCATTACCGATGTTTATTACTTTCAATTTTAGTTACTTCACCTGGTATATAAAAGTTACCTTGTTTTTAAATGCCCGTACTTATTCTTACTTGCACACCCAAGAGGTCCCGGGTTCGAATCCTGACCGGTGTCACCGATCTTATGCCCTTGGGAAAGGCCCTTGGGAAAGGAAAGACTTTCCTCACTTTACCCAGGTGTAAATGAGTAACTAGCTTCGGCAAGGGACGTCCCTCGGATAGGACGTTAAATGGGGGTCCCGTGTTTGGGAGAGCCACACCCCACGCACGTTAAAAGACCCACCATACTTATCGAAAAGAGTAGGGGACCTTCCCGGTGAGAGTAGTTCACACCTTACACTCTGGTCACAGGTTTGACATCTTGAAGAGGTGATATACACCTGTTATGTCAATCCTTCCACAAATGTGTTTTCCATAAATACATGGAAATAAACAAATAAAGAGCGGCGACAGCATTTTGTACAATTGGATGAGAACGAGTGCTCTTACGTCCCAGAACAAGCTGCCAGGGGGCCAACCTCACGTCACTTCATTCCCAGCACAAGACTTGTGAAGGGCTATCTACCATTCAGATGTTGTGACCGTACCTAATCTAGATCATGAGATATTAAACCGAAAGTTCCGCTGCAGTGCCACAACGAGCTGCCAGGGGGCCCGAAATCTAATTATTTTCAGGTCTCGTCAATTCACCTTACGAATACAAAGACGATTCCTTTTAGCCTTCTTAAGTTATCGTATTTACACACACACACACACACAAACACACACACACAGACACACACAAACACAAACACACACACACACACAAACACACACACACACACACACACACACACACACAATATCCCTCTGGACCGGACCCTATGGTCACCGGATAGGAGCGCGTAATCTAGCCTGGCGAACAAAACGCGAAACCGGGACTCCCGACTCCCAGTGTATGCCGTACTGTATCCTCCAGGATCCTCCGCGAGCGTAATCTCCATCTGGCCAACAATATCCCTCTGGACAGGACCCATATGGCAACATTTTTGTAAAAACTGACTTTCAGGCTTGTTTGGGCCCGCGGTAGAGCTCTAAAAGTAATGTTAAATGTTGTTTTGTTTATGTACAGTCAGAGGTCATGCTCTCTGTGTTTACGTTTACCGTACCTGTTCGCGTCAATACAAAGTGAGATTTTTAAAACTAAATGGACTATTTGGAGGTTGGACTAAACTGGTAATGTTACTTTTCCATAGTTGAACACCTAGGTAGGTGGTTTTAAAAGATTATTTCTGATATGGTTAACCCTACATTTCTACGGAAACGTTTATGGTGGACTGTCCCCTAAGAGACGACGTTGAAATACGCCATCATACCAGGTATGGACCGCTATTTCACATTACACTCTTGCTGCTCTCATTGCTACTTTTTTTGCAAATCGAAATCAAATAATCCCTCCACCAACTAGTGACGCAATGGCAAGATTCTGTATGAACAACTATGAAAGATGTGCTAGTGTCACGGAAATGAAAAGAAACCTACAGTGGACCTCACTGGAAGACAGAAGAAAGATGTCCAGACTATGCATGATGTACAAAATGACTAATAAACTGGTGGATGTCCCAACTACTAAGTGCCTAATACCAGCACAGAAGAGAACAAGAAATAGCCATGCATTCAATCACCAGAGTTATCAACCAAAGATTGAGGTGTTCAAGAATTCATTCTTTCCTAGAACTATCGCAGAGTGGAACTCACTGTCACCAAGTACAGTAGGGGCATTTTCAATAGATAGCTTTAAACAATGTCTAGAGCTAGAAGTTCAAGGGTTAGGTGTAACAAGTCGATCGGTGTAATATAGCCAGCTGCCGCCGCGCCGCGTGCCTGCGAAGCTGGTGTGTTACGCCGAAAGGCGGTTATACCGGCTATACAGATACAGATACAGAAGATATATCAAAACAATGCAATTTTTGTGCAGCAAAAACTCTGGGACATCAGAATGAACCGGGTGTATGATAAAGCCTGTATTCATGACATCACCTCAAAAGCCATTAGTTTAGGCATCAGTATGTATGGTAGTACCTCTGTAGTACATTTTATACTGGGATATACACAATCATATAGAACACATGAAGATAGCTAAGTGTAGTTAACTTTAGAAGCTAAATCTCAAAGTATGGTGGAATATTTGAGTCTGATGACGAAATTGAGGGTTATTTTCCTTTCGATTCATATGTTTTCTACTTTACTTCCATCGATTGTGTTTATGGTACACAGGAATAGGAAATTCGATTCCTTGTTATGTCTTTTTCGCTACAGGTGTAACCTCCGTTTTCGGTAACGGAGGTAACAAAATGGGCTTTTTGCTTATATTTCTCTGAAAAGATCTACAGTTTGTAGCTTCATCTTTAAGGTGCAAGTAAGAATAAGTACGGGCACATAAAAACTAGGTAACCCTCATATACCAGGTACAGTAACTAACATTGAAGGTAATAAACAACCACCGTTTTGTATAATGGAGTTTACAGACATTACTGTAAAACATTTTCGGTGAAAGGGCCTGGCTATCTGGTCTCAACAGTCATTAATTTGAAATTTGTCGTGCTAAATTGGTTTTAGACTGATTTTCAAAGGTTTCGTTCTTTCTAAGGCGACAGCCGCTTTTTAGGGGGGAAAATCCAACCCGCGGCCATAGTCATCAACCAAACCTATTGTTGTGGTACATTTTTCGTGAACGATAGTAAGTGTAGTGGGGAAGTAAAGAAAGCAATGAAGAGGTCGATGACATGGCTCATATCTAGTCGTAAAGTATACAATATCTAATCGTAAAGTCTAGTGGGGTCACGTGGCGTAGCGTTGGCGTGTTCGGCCTAGGCCCAAGAGGTCCCGGGTTCAAATCCTGCCCGGTGTCACCGATCTTGTGCCCTTGGGAAAGGTAATTACCACGACTTTCTTCACTTCACTCGAGTGAAAATGAGTACCTAATTTCGGCAA